TTTATTTCAGTCAATGTGGAAATCAATTTTGAAATGTATCCATACAAGTTCCATCTGGTCCTGAAGTCAGACAAAAGATGGCTGGGGGGGGGGGGGTCATTGTCAATAATCTGGATGTCACCCCTTTACAGCTGATATCCTGCCTCAATTAGAAAAATCTTCCTGTAGCAGAAGGTGAATTTCATACCATAAAACAAATCTCAGCTTGCCATGAAATTTAGGCTACTTTACTCAGGTCAGACCAGTCACAGGTCAGGCCTGCCAGCTGCTATGCAACTTCTGTTCCAGTTTCTGCCCAGACCTGTAATTATTTACAGTTTTGCACCTGTCATAATCCTGAAACAATGACTTTCCTTGTTTCTCAGGGCTTAGAGACAGTTAAATGTGCTCAATTTCAAAACTGAATGCTTAAAGCAAACATATGAAGGGGTCACTATCATTTTCTAAACTTTTTAAAAACATAACTAAAATAGAAATGAGCAGAAAAGATACTAGTTTCAATGTAAAATAAGATACAGAGTAGCTAACCTTGAGCTTCATGAACAGAGAAATTACCCACGAGTTGTTAAAAAATAGAAACCCTTAAGTTCAAAAGCTGGACCTCCAAAATCAGAATTTAGAAAAGGGGTAGGGTCCGTACACTTCTAACACATGGTCTAGAAAACACGTTTTTTGTTTGTTTGTTTGTTTTGGTACCGGGGATTGAACTCAGTGGAAAACATGTTTTATAAAGTAGTACAACACTAAAACTACCCTCTTGAAAGACTGATTCATCACTACCACAACAATTTGGGAGATATTTCTTAATTCAACAGACAGGTAAAATTAAAGCACTATCTATGGCAATCAAAAGAAGGATAGTAAATAATGATGAAAGTGGTTCTGTGGGCTAATCAGACCACTCATTAAAAAATGCAAATGGGTCTTCTCACAGCAGCTGATTCTGCCACAGAAGATTGAAAGCTCTGGCTGGCTGAGCTTTTATTCTCCTAAGTTATGCAACTCTATCCAGAAGGTGCATATTTCTTTAAGAAATCAGCAGCCCTGGGTAAACAGGGTGCATCTGGTGAACACATGTCCAAGAGCAGGTAAACACATGATTTCAGTAATTAGTTCCAACACCATCTGTCAAGCAGGTAGTTCAAAACCTACTCAACAGGAAAGGCAGTTTGAAGTAATTTTTAAGCAAGTACACTTCTCATCTGCTTAATAAAAGTAGAGATCAAAATACAAACCTGGAAACCTGTGTGCCGCTGCCCCGAATTTACCCAGGGCAGAATAGGCAGGTTCTTTCTTGTAACTAAAAAAGATGATAATGCTTCACTGCTTGAGAAGTACAGAATCTGATTAATTATCCCCCAAAGAAAATTTCTTATGATTAAAAATGGCAGTAATTTATTCATCACTAATCAATAACTAACAAGACTAGTCTCTGTAATAAATTAAAGTGTGTCACCTGTCTGCAAAACCACCTCACCATTAATTAAGGGATAAACCGCTCTGGTGACAAAGGCTTTGAAATATTTCTCAGTATTATTAACTCAACTTGAAAAACATAAGGCCTAATGCAAAAGAACATGGGAAAAGAAAAAAAAAATAGCAGAGGAGGAAAAAGAAAAAATCCAATTAAGAATTTTTCTGACTTTGAAAAAATTAGTTGACAGATTTTTTTTTCAAAATTATCACTGCAATTCTGCCTTAATGTGTATCTTAAACCTATAGCTTTTCATCTGATTTATATAATTCAAATAATACAAGTAACTTTTAAACATTCAAAGTGAGGCATGACAAGAATATCAAGGACTCGATTACCCAAGATAAATTTAATTTTTTCTTTTAGATTCAATTTTCTTCTCTTGCCTTACCTTTATTATGACAAAACTGATTTAGATTTTGCCTTCTCTCTCCATCCAGAGAGTGAAATATCAAAAGTAAAATAAAGTGGCATGTACCCATGATAAGAGGAGGTGAGAATAACACTTCACCCTCGTGGTCTTCCCCAAAACACACAGCTCTCCTCTAAACATGGGCAAAACCTGAGACAAGCCCAGGTTTGGGAAGATCTACAAAGAGCTGACCAGCCCCAAACTGTAAGAATCAAACACAAAAACAGTCTGAATCACTGTCACAGGCAAAAGAAAAACTAAGATATGGCAATAAATGCAATGTGGTATATCAAGATGAGATCCTAAAACAGAAAAGGGATATTGGGAGAAACTAGTAAAATCTAAATAAAGTGGGACATTTGGTTAACAGTACTGTACCAATGTTGATTTCTTGGTTGTGACAAACAAATCACAGTAATGTAAGATGTTAATAATATAGAAAATGGGTGCCAGGTACATAAGAACTCTACATTATATTTGCAACTTTTCTGTAAACCTAAAATTATTCCAAAATAAAAAGATTATCTAAAATCTTGTTTGGTAGGGTTCTGAATGTTCATTTAACCACAGATCATTAACAGCTACTGTGCTACAGCCAGGTAAAATGCAATCACTGGGAAAACCACTGTAAGATAGGATCACGGTGAATACACACTCAAACTGCACAAAAGTGGGCTAAAATCCACTACTAAAAGAAAATGATTAAAGGATATGTGTATGAGCCAAGGTTTCTCACTGGTATGAGGCATATAAATTATTTCTCTTACAATGTCTGTAAGTCACTTTAAAATACTTAAATATGAAGAGTAAAATATGTTTCTCCAGCTCAAACTGTAACTCCAGGGGCATTAAATTTCCCTAATCAAGAAAGCAAACCCAGGACACATTAATCAGAATCCCATTGAATTTAATACAAAAAAAAAAAAAGAATCCCATCTTCAGAGATAGTAATGACTAACAAATTTCTTTATGCAGAGAAGGTGGTTTAAGTTCTTTAGAAAGGTAATTCAGCTGTCTGAAACTTGTTTGACAAAAATTAAGCTTTGTAAATAACAGAGTTGACTATGTCAATTCCTGACAACCATTATTGTAAGAGTTTCTAATTGGACATCTATCTACAACCCTCCTGAAACCCACTTGACATTGTCAGAAACTTTTTTCCATATTTGTGAATGTGATTCTTTTTGGAGGATAAAATGTTCACAGCTTATATGAGATCAATACAATTGCCCGATTTAAAAAAAAAGAATTATAACTGAATAATTCAGTCAACTAGCAATTATTGCTTTTATTAAAATCAGCTTTCCCTTAAATTACACAACTTACATTTTTCAAAAAAATGGCTTCTCTGTTGATGTAAATATTAAATATCTTTTAAAAACAGGTAAGATTTTGTTTGTTTGTATTTGGTACCAGGGATCAAACTCAGGACCTTGTGCTTGTAAGGCAAGCGTGGTGCCACTGAACTAAATCCCCGGCCCAAAAACAGTTAAGATTTTAACTAACAAGATACACCTTGCCTGACATATTAAACATCTCACCTAAAGGAGATATCAAAGCTTTCTTTAAGAAGTCATTATTTTCAAACAATAATGCACAAAACATTTTTGGATTCCAAACCATTTTACCTAGAGATGCAAAAGGTTCATACATCTCAATGGAATTTGTTTGTAAATAAAATCAGTGCATTTCAATCATATTTTACAGCACTTTCATACTAGGTTTTGCTCTGCATCTTGCAGTTTCCAGTCCATGCAACTCCAGAGAAGAGCAGCCAATTCTTTTTCTTTTGCATTTATAATGATTTTTTTCATCTTGAGTTAGCTGGTATAGGAAATAAATATAAGTCACCAGCAATGCTGCTAAAAGTCAGATAATTGTCTCAGTAGTCAAGTATTGATAAAAGAAAACATAAGCTTCCTGAGCAGACATGGAAAATGCTGAAATTTATTATAAGTGAATGATGAGAAAAATAACTGCCTTATATCCACATCATACAAAATGCTCTTCAACGCATACTGCGTGCATCAAGTCCTAACAGGGAAAGCAGGGAAGAAAAGCAGCAGCAGACAGGGTCATGGACTACTTATAAAAGTTAATGAAAGAACTGCTCAGAATTGATTCAATTACTGTTTAATTATAAATTGCCATTCTTATCCCATGATGAAGCCTTTCCATTTAACACGTTACAATACAGTTAACTTGTCAAATATCTGGTCAAAGTTAAAGTAAGTTTATTAAAACACTTTTTTAAAAAGTATTAAAATACAAATAAAATGATTTTTTTCTCCAATCCAAGCATGAAACAACAGACAGATATTTTTTAAAAAGAATTTAAAATAAAAAGTTGGTATTCTAGGTTTAGAGAGACAACCAAAGGGAAGTATCTTTCCTGATTGTTAGTCTAACTTCTAGCTGTGTTTTCTAAAGGACAGATTTCATCTCCTTCACTTAATATTTTCAGATCCCTTTAGCTATCATATTTCTTTAAAAATTCACATTTCTAATCTTAAAATCTCTGGAGCCTAAGTACAATATTGCTGCCGCTAAAAATACAAAAATTTTGAGAGGAAATCTATTTTGCTTTTAGATGATTTCTGAAGAACAGTCTTTATTAAAAGAAAGAGGACCCATTATTTCTGGATTCCCATGTTTGCTCTCCTGTTTCTAACTGGCAATATGGAATGCCTTTAGGGCCATAGCTAAGAGGAGAAATGAAAACTTTTCTGGTAATTCAGGCCATAAAGTCAAGAAATGTGGTGGTAGCTTTTGCAAATCTACTTTTAACAAATCAATCAATCTACATATATTATGAGGCATCTGGAATAGTCAAATTCAGACAGAAAGTAGAATAGTGGTTATCAGAGACCGAGGGCAGAGAGCTATACAGTGTTATTGTTAAATGGTTATAGAATTAGTTTGGGATGATAAACAAGTTTGTGGTGTGTGTGTGTGTGTGTCCTCTCCGTACCATCCAGAATGGACAGCAATACACAGTATAGATTCTCCTCTTACAATACTGTTAGTCTTAATAAACCCATCATCAGTTAAAAATTTCATAAATCAAACATGTACTTAATAAACCTAACCTACCATGTGCCATAGCTTACCAACATGGTACACTGTAGCGTGTCAGTTGTTGACCTTCAGGATCATAGGGCTGATTGGGAGCTTCAGCTCTGCCCAGCATCAAAAGAGAGTATGGTACCACATATCACACATATCACTGACCCAGGAAAAGATCAAAATTCAAAATTTAAAGTATGATTTCTACTGAATGCATATTGTTTTGGCACCATGATACAGTTGAAAATCTTAGGTCTAAGACTGACTGTATCGTCTACCTGGTTAGCAAAAACAGGAAACACAAAAGAATGGAAATAGTAGGGCCAGGAACCAAAAGACTAGGTGCTGCAAGTATGCTGGCAGACACGAGGAAACAGAAGCTCCCCAGTAGCATACAAGTAACACTTCCTAACATTGCAACTGGGCAACTGAACTCATGTCTCAGAGAAAGCGCAGTGATTCATGAACATGTGAATGGACCACTGACCTAAGCAGCCTGAAAGGATAGTTTTGATCACAAGCCCTTCACCCAGGTAGAACAAATAAGGGATGATATACAGTGTATATGGGAGATAATCCAACATATAGTGAAGGTGCTCCAAATGCCCTACACACACTTCAGGAAACAATTCTGGATATTCCCATCAGTGTCAAGCTTTGTCTAGAAGCACAAGAAAACCCAGTTCTGAAGGCCACATCTTGTTTTTTTCTCAGAAAAACACAGTCCTGAAAAATGCATACTATATCTACATCTTTCACAGTCACTGGCTGGGAAAGAAGCAGCACTGCAAGATATACACAGTCTTATAAACATGTTCTGCATTTTCCACTGAGGTGAAGAGCAATCACAAAGACTTTCATTCGGAGGTTGATGCATTGTAATCCACAGGGTCAGACTATCTCTCATTACTTGGACTGGCTATTTGGTTACCTTGCCAGGTTAATGCTTCATAACAGAATTAATATACACATGGAGAATATGGAGAAACTGTGGGAGTAGGAAATTCTCCACACGATTCAAAGAATGACATCCTGATGCACAAGTGAAGATGCCAGTCCTTCTCCTAGAGAATTAAAGAGGGTCTCCCTGGTCTAGAGTAAAAGCCTATGACTCCAATGAAAGCAGCTGGCAGGGTCTCGATAGGATCCATGCCAACCGTGATGTTCAGCAGGGAACAGGCTACCTGTAAACTGAGAACTTTTCTGAGCTGAGCAATCCCAAGGTTGAGCATAACTAGTTCTTAAGAGAAGCCTTCAGTATTAGACTTCAATCATCCTCATTAAATGGACCAGACATGTCAAGAAAAAGCAAAAGTATTTCTGCAGTCTTGACCTTCAGGAAGCCTTAGGCAAGACAGTAAGGTTGCTGTAGTGCTAGGTACACACTAATATGAGGTCTGTTAACTAAAAAGAACTTATAAGGAACATTTGTCCCTGGGAGAAATGAATCTACCTGGAAAGATAGTTCTGTCATTTGTTCCATTCTTCACTCTTTTGTTTGCTTGTTTTCAGAAAGAGGAAAGTAACTGTTCTTTTTCCTCTTGATAAAACACAAGAAAAGGGCTCAAATAGCTGATATTTCTAAAAGTATACTCTTAGAGGATTTCAGGAATGTAGAGTTGAGTATCAAGAATGTTATTTCAATTGGGTAAATTATCAAAAAAGGCAATAAATATACACTTGAAAATGGAAGTTTGGAGGGTAAGGCTAAGGACCACCTCCTTAGACAGCTCGCTTGCTTTATACTTTGGCAGCTTTCATCATGGATTGTTACCCCAAAGGCACTGGTTTCCCAAATGTATCCAAAAGGCTAGGTTTTTCTTTCTTATACTTTGGGCTGCTAACCCTGAAGAAGTAAATTATCCCAGGGAAAAAATGCAAAAATGATAATTTCTATAAACTTTGTATCTAATATCCTCCACCAGCAGGCTTTCTATTATGTTTTCACCTTGGGTTTCATGATTTTTTTTTTTTGGTACCGGGGATCGAACTTGGGTCCTTGCACTTGCACAGCAGGCAGCAAAACCACTGAGCTAAATCCCTGGCCTGGGTTTCATGATTTTTTGAACCAAGAGAAAAATGAAACTTCCTGAAAATAGCCCTTTTATGACCCACAAAGAAATTATGTAGAATATTAAATCAAAAGCCCAGAAGAGTTTAACATTATATCCAAAGCATATGAAAAGAAGTGAAGAAAACCAGAAATAAGTGACTATCATTATACTTACTGAATAACTATAAATAGAATTCATAAGATCTAATAATGTCTAAGGCCTACAGTTGCCTAAAATAGCTGTAGAAGTTCAAGTAAACCTGGTGACTGAGTCACAAACCAAGAAAACTCTTATACTAGTCTTCTCCAAAATCTTTATAATCATTTTGACATTTTTATCTTCAATTTACAATCCTAGCAAAGAAACAGTAAGAATATCCTCAAATTCACACCCTTTAAATATAGTATAGTAGGTTTGTTTCACGGGGGGAGAGGGGTTGAGATGGAATAGGCAGAACCTTACATAAATGTCCAAATGCCCTTATATTCAGGATAAGCAAAAGTTGCCTTATCTGTAAAACAAATATCATATGACACAGTTCTACAAAGCAATGTAAACCGCACACTGTAAAAAATTAAAAACTTGAACACACTCCCAAGTATGTAGATTTATTTGTAAAATGTGTATTTGTATTACTGTACAAACTGATTGTGGAATTATAAAACATATGCAAAATAGAAAAGAATGAAATAAAAATGAAGTATCTCACAGTTTCTTCCCACCCTCCACCAATTCAGTTTCATCTCACCTAGGGAAGTGCACACCCCGTTTTGAAGACAACTTCAGGAAAAGCCAAGCACCAGAGATGCGTATGAGCTGCCTTTCACAATGCCACCTTGCCTACTCTAAACTACAGTACGTTGGCACTGACGAGCCTTTCCCAACCCAGGAGAGTTTCTTCCAGCCCTTTCTGCACCTATTACTATCATTTCCCTCCGAAGACGGAGGGCAAGAGAGGAGGCAATGAGCTTAAATGGCGAACATCAAGGCCACCAGTTAAGAGCGCTAACATGGAAGTTTAATAAAGCTACAGACTAAATTAAGTGTCTATATTCTTTCTACGCCTTTTAGCCATCCAGGCACTTGTGCTCACCTTGCCTCAGAGCAAGCTCTGTCATCAATCACCCTCTCCAGTATCCCCAAGCAGAAGGCAGGCTGGCCCAACCAGGCCATCTGTACACACACCTGCTCCCAGCATCCGTGGGTGAGCAGGGTCTGCTGGCCCAGAAAGGCCCAGGGCCCCGAGGGCGCCACTGCAAATGCATATTTCCTGCAGGACCCAGTCCAAAGATTTGGGAAGAAAAGCTAGAAAGAGTGAATGACAACAGACAGGACAATGGCAGTGTACAAATGTGAGTCATATAATCTCCCGGGAGGAGGGTCATAGAGCCTTTTACCCACTCACAGTCCCGAAGAACTTCAGAGTCATCTGTGTTCATTATCTCTGTTAACTCCTGCTTTTCTAAAGTTCTACATAAATAGTATTATTACTCCATGCAATATACATTTCATTTCATTGTTAAAGTATATTTATCATTATAGATGAACAACATAATTATCATAGAATACAGAATCTTAACTCTGTTCTCATAGTAATGAAAGTACTCAAAAGGACAATGGTGGAAACACAGTACTGTAATATTACTCAATGAATTCACATTACACCTGCAAAAACGCCTCAAAGTTTGAATATTAAATCCATTCTTTATCATGTTTCATTTTGAGTATGGCAGTCACGACTTCAAAAGTAGAAAGCACGAAACCCATAAAAAAAGACACTAGAAATGGCAAATAATCCAAATGCTGTAAATGCAAAGACAATTAAAACAAGCTATTATCTCAACAGGCTATAAATTACCAAAAGCAAAATTGGTAATCCTTAAAGCACATGACAGAGCAGTGTATCCTCTCATAATCACATACTGCTGATAGGGCTGCAGTATATACTTTTTCTACAGAACAATATGGCAAAAAATAACTACTGTATGTAAAATGCTCCATTTTTCTTTTCTGGTACTGGGAATCGAACTCAGGATCTTGCGCTTGCGAGGCAGGTGCGGGCACCAGTGAGCTAAATCCCCAGCCCAAATACTCCATTTTTTACTCACAATTCCATTTTTAGGAATCTGATCTACATTTTCTTAAATGTGATAACTAAAACTGAAGGCAAAGACTTAGGCCTAAAAATGTTCACTTATTCAATAGCTATAATCCATTTAAAACAGAGGCTGGAAAAACTGGATAAAATCTAAGTATTCATCCAAAAATGCGCATAGCACATAAAATGAAGTATTACATAGCCATTTAAAATTAACATATCAATTAATAGGCTTAACTGTCTTTTTAAAAGTAGGATACAGGGCCAGGGATTTAGTTCAGTGGTTCCGCCACTTACCTTGCAAGCAGAAGGTCCTGAGTTCAATCCCCATCCCCTCCTCCCCAAAAAGCAAGAAACCAACACAAAGGCAAAACCAATACAAAAAAAAAAAAAGATTGGAAACGCATATACCTGCATGTTAACCATGGTAACCACTATATAAGAGGATACAGGTGACTTTTAAATTGCATTTTCCAAATGCTCTACAATCTGTAAGCTATTTTTTATCATTGGGAAGAAAAATAGTTTTAAAAGCCATGAATCAAACCAATAAAATTTATGAAAATTAGCTATTTTTAACATGAAGAGCAGCTTTGCAGAGAAAGTCTGAACTAAAAACAAAGTTTCTTATCACATCATTCTGATAGATTTTAAATTTTGAGGATGTATGTCACAACAGAAACCTTGCCAGTCAACATCCAATGACCACAAAAACACCTTTTACCCACAGTGTTCATGAATGAGCATTATGGTTTTTCCTCAGTGACTTTGTTACCGGTAGAAGTGACTATGGGGTCTTGAGGTTTCTTGATCAACATGTAAGAAGCTTGGAAAATACTACTGGATCTTTTCCACAAGTAAAAAATACACTGAAAAAAATCAACAACTCCCTTCAATACATAAGAGAAATGAGATCACAGGACAAACTACTGCCAGAAAACTGGAGACCAACAGGCAGACACAGCGAATCCTCCTTTGCCAAAGCA